CATCTCCAAACACAGAAAGCGGATATTCCGAGGAGGAGCCAGCTCCGAGAGATCCGAAATCGAGACCATCAGAGGTGACCCAAAATTCAGCATCGACAAGAGACTCCACGGCTAAACTACTCCTGGGGATGAGCCCCCTCGTCCAAGAACATTCGTATGTATCAACCTGTGCGTGGGCCTTGCGAATAAGATCCTCACTAAGCTTAAACACTGGGCGATGTGAACTACTGCTGCAAGTCCACACACGTTGGAAACTGGCTTCGGGCCCACAGTTTGCACCGCGCACACAACACTGACATGGTTTGGCGGCAACGTGTCTGACGTCGCGCGCGCGGCGAAGCAGCGCCTGCGGCTGCCGCCAGTAGAAGGCCAGAGACTGATGCCCTCCAGCGCCTGTTCGAGCTGAGGGTGGAGTCTGGAGTCTCCGATACGAGTAGTTGCACACTCCGCCAGCCATGCCAGCACCGCCGACATGCACGGATGCCTGCTGCCACATCTGCCCCTCGATCGTGCTTCTGAACTCTTGGAAGAACGCCTCAGGGATGTCGAGACACGCGTGCCCCGTGAGGGGCTTGCCAAATTGAACTGCCAATGTGACACACCGCCTAGAACTTCCTAAGATGAATGGGGTCCGTGGTTCCCAGCCAGCTGCCAGAAGGTACGAAATCACTACCCCCTGTGGTCCCCGGATGCGTCGGCTCCTAGCTGCAGCAGATATGTCGGCTAACTCCTGTGCCAACTAGGGCCATGCTTACTAAGTTGGCGTTTGCGCGCAGGTCGGGATGAAGTCAACGTCGCCAGCCATATCCGCAACGCGTCGATGAGAGGTCTAAACTGCGGGCCGCCATCTGGTGCCTTGAGGTTCAGCATGGCTACTGGGCGGCGCCCATTCAGTCAAGGGCCCGAAGCGCTAGCCAGCCAGCTTGCGCCCGCCTTGCTGCATCTGACCACCCCACGCGCCATGGAGCTGGCGCGCACAGAGTCCCGCTGGTCGCGCGCCTTGCAAGTCAAGACGCCCGGGCAATCGGCAGCGTAGAAGAGCTCGTACGCAGCCGCCAAAATTCTTAGACATTGTGTCGTTCAATCCGAACCCGTCGCATCGCCCTGCCGTGTCGTCGGCATCCTGACAGGTCGCCGCCGAGGCGGCCTGGCTCGCCACCTCGATTCGAAACCCTTGCACCGCCAGTCGTCGCACCACGCGCCGAGCGTCGGGAAGGCGCGTGCAGACCGCGACCAACATGGGGGACGCTTTGACGCCGCTTTCCTCGAGAGCGCGGCAAGTGTCCGACAAACAAGCTACCAACTGATTGCGCACTGCTGTTCTGGAATCTCGCACGCTTTGGCGTAAGTCGTCAAACCAAGTAAGATAAGACATGTTGACATGGCAAAATACGATATGTTGGAGGATACGGCGCGCAGCACATGCCAAAACGCATGCCATTTTCAAGCCGTGTACTGCCGACCTGGTCGGGTCGAATGGCGCCCACCACGTCCTGGCCGGTCGCGCGCATCCTGCTGCCATACATTGTTGAAGTTCTGGGCCTAGAACTTCGGGAGGGAAATCGAATGTCGACGCTGCCTTTTCCCATGCGGCACCATCCCACAGTGTCGTAAAAAAACGCGATGTCGAGCATGCCGTTGCCTGGGAGGCCCCCAAGCGCACAGTCAACTCTCCATCAACTGACCGAAGGTGAATTTCACGAAGCGCGGCGTTGCCGCGCGCTCTGGCGCCCCAGTGTGCAACGCACTGGTCCGTCCATGCTCAGGCCTGGCTCTCGCAAACTGTCGACCACGCGCGACCAATGTGCGACAGCAATCCGACCACGCGGTCGCCGGTGCTCTTCGTCGGGAGGAGGGTGCCCAGCTGGTGCGGCCGCACCTGGTGGTAGTCGCACAGGGTCAGGATCCCCGCGAGCTCGGCGGGCGCTGCATTTGGAAGCCGCTCATAGTCGAGGCCTCTCACTCGGTCGACCCTCATGGCAGCACCTGACTTCCCTGTCTGAGTGCCTCACGACGGTAATCCACTATCAATGGTGGCGCGAGGGCTTCGCCTCGCACGCGTCAATTCGTTATCCCAGTGCTTCTCTTGGCCCCAACCTGTGGATGAACTAATGTGGCGGGCCAAACCTCCAGCATGTCCGATGTCACAGCGAGTCCTCGGGCTGCACGAGGGGGCCCACAGCAGGCGCGGTCTCGGCCCACTCACGGAACTCCTTCAGCGACTGTCGAACGGCTCGATGCTGTGGAGCACCAGCCCCACGGCGCGGGCGTGGGGGGCACAGTCCCTGCTCCTTGGGAAATGTGAACATCCAGCTGGGCTCCCTCCCGAACCCCATCGTGGGAAAACCCTTCTCTGCGTACCCCCGACCGCCGCGCGCGACCGGCGGCGCCATCTGGGGGGGCGGGGGGGGGGGGAGAGGGGGCGCGCGTCAGCCCAAGCGGGCACCGTGGTCCAGGGCAGAGGGCGGCTCGAGGGAAAGTGGCTTGAGCGGAAGGGGCTGGGGATCCGGCCTCTTCCTCGTCCCTCATTGGCCTCCCCGCTGTTGCTCGCCCCAGCGTCCCTCTCATCCTGCTCCTCCCTCCGTGTCCTCCTTCCCCTTTCTGCTGCTCCTCTCCTGTGCTTCCTCTTTGGTTTGGAGCGGGAAATCTATTTGGGAAGCCTCGGCCTCCTCCTCCTCCTCCTCCTCCTCCTCCTGCCTCCTCCTCCTCCTCCTCCTCCTCTCATCCTCCTCATCATCATCATCATCATCATCATCATCATCATCATCATCATCATCATCATCATCATCATCATCATCATCATCATCATCATCATCATCATCATCATCATCATCATCATCATCATCATCATCATCATCATCATCATCATCATCATCATCATCATTTCTCCTTCCCTCCCCTTCCCTCCCCGTTCAGAATACTGGGACGCACACGGGGGAAGAAGAAGGAAAGCGGGGGGGGTAAGGTGGAGGACGGAAGATGGGGGATGGAGGGTGGTGGATGCCTACTAAGCGGTGAGGAGATAGGAGGAAAGAAGAAGGATGTCTGACGAGAAACAACACACAAGGAGGAGGCAGAAAACAGGAGGCAGGCGTGACGAGGGATGCCGAGCAAAGTGACTTGGGGGGGAAACGAGGGGGAGCAGCAGCAGAAGCAGGAGGATGAAGACGGGAGCAGCAAGAGGAGGTGCAGCACGTGGAGCAGCGAGGTAAAGGGCAGGGAAGGCGCTGCTCCCTCTCTCTCTCTCTCGCTCTCTCTCTCCCTTGTGAACGTTTTCTTTATTCGGCGATTCGACATTGGGCGGACCTCTGCTGGGTGCGACTGTTTGCAAGAGTGCTGCCTCTGGGGGAGACTCCACCTGCTCTGCCAAAAACAGCCAAGATCTACTCCACGGGGGGAGGAGGGGGGGTGCGAGGGCCCGCGCCGATCGTCAAAACATTGAATAAACGACGATCACCTTTTCGCGTCTCCTCCTCTCGGTGTTTCAAAGATGAGGTCCTGAGGGGGGTCCTAAGGACGAGGTGCCTCAAGCAACGTAAATTCAACCTTGGATCCCTTCCTATCCTTATGACCCCATCCCTCAGGACCCCATCTTTGAACCACCGAGTCTCGCCCTTGCTCCACCACCCTCTCCCCCCCTCTTCCCTTCTCGCTCCTCCTCGTTCCTGCTAATCCCTCCTCCCCCTGCTCCTCCTCACTCCTTGCTCGTGCCGGCCCTGACTACCCCGATCCTGCTGCACACGCGGCCGCACCAGCCACACTCCTGGGGCAAACGAGTCTGCGCCCCCGCCCGTGCGATGGCCACGTTCAAGATCCAGGGTTGTGCCCTTCCAGCTCGAAGAACTCTCCCGAAAAGGCATGTTCCGAACGTCGATTGTGTTTTCGTCCCCCTCCGTTCTGGACATGTAGTCCTACATGCATTGCATGTTACGAAGACTTTCTAAAACTCGGGAAGCCCCCGCTGCATTCGCGATCCAAAACTTTCATCTCGCACGAACCTTGGCCAGATCTGGGAGACCCGAGCAGCTGTCTCGGCTACAGAACCCAGGGTCCCGAGCCATGCCCTCCCTCACACAACGTGCACCCGCGGCTCGGCATCGCGCTGCCGCGGCGACCCCGGGCGCATGCGAAGTCCCACATTGCCATCCCGCGCTCACAATCAGAAACCTCACTTGGGGGAGATATAAGACTCGGGTACGGGGGACTCGGGTTGGCCTGACGAGGGCCATCACGAAAATGGCGAGAGCCAATCTGAAATTTGACGCGAGCTCCCGCTGCAGACATGCCACGAAAACCGGGGAGCCAAATCCAGGACGCGCTCGTCAAAAAACTTCGGCAAACCCGAGTTCCGGCTTACTCGAGTCTTACGTTTCCCCGATCACTCTCGCGACCTCTGGCCACGACCACGGCCAGCCACGGTCCGAAAGATCCTGCTCCAGGCCCGACCCTGGCCGCCGCCCAGGGTCCTGGTCCTGCCTCGGCCTCTGCCGCTCCCTCCCTGTCCGAAGTCGCGACCGGCCACCCGCGACACGAATCCTGTGTGCGCGGCCCGCTGCGGACGAAGCCGACCGGGTCGTGTAATACATCCTCTGGTGCAGGGGGCCACATGCCAACCCTGCCCCTGCTCCCCGCGATTTCTGCGGGGGAGGCTGGGGTTCACTTCGCTCGGGAGCTCCCGAACGAAGTGAATCCCGGCCTCCCCCTCAGAGATCGTGGGGTTCGCATGTGGTCCCCTACTGGTGCAGAGTTTCATGCGAGGGGTCAGGCGAGGCCCAACACATCAAAGGGGCAGCCATCCACACTGAAGACTGGAAGTCACTCGCTGGTCGCAAAGCTTGCCTGCTACTCAAACGAGTTCTGTGAGGTCACCATTGTCTCTGTTGGCGGGATCTCCAGGTTGTTTTGAACGTGGCCCAATCAGGCGCTTCGTGGTAACATCTCAAGCCGCATCAACATCAAGCGCTTGTCTCCTGGTATGGCCGACATCGAGGCCAAAGAGGCTAAGCTAATGAACACCTCTGCCTCAGATTGCAAAACACAGGGATCAGTAAGCCATCATACGATATTGAATCGAGAACCGCATGTGCAATATCGTTTTCATTATGCAAATGCGAGGCTTTCAGGAATCCGCAGCAAGGTTTGCGTCTTCCCCAGTAAGAAGTGGCGACACACATACAGCCGTGGCAACCAGATAACATCACGTCCTCCGTTCGTGCACAAACGAAATGCTCAGCGCAAAGGACGCATGTCGCCGCTAGCAGAAGTCCCACTCCTTGGTGTCGCTGTGCACCAAGTTCAGCAGCATCTTCGACACGAGTGCGCATACCGATGTGCCTGCGAACGCCCGAAAGGTAACCTCCAGCGGCCATGACACCTGTCTGGAGGGAGGAGCAAGCAGGAGCCAGGAATGAGAGCAGAACTATGATGGGAATGGTGACAACGACGGCGGCAAGTTCCAAGTAGAAGGGGCGATGGGCACTGGCAGCAAGATGGGCTTGGGATCCACTGGGAGGAGGAAAACTCTGCCCCGAAGCGAGGGGCCTCCGAGGCTTCAAAAAGTAGCAGCGCTGTGATCCCAGAGGCCTCCCAGGACCTCCCAGAGGCCTCCCAGGCTGCGGCGAACGAGCATGAGCTGGCGGAGCGAGACGGTGGAGCTTGGGCGCGAGAGGCGCCGGACCCTGGCCGCCGTGCCTGTCCAGTGGAACCCCTCGCTTCTGGAGGGGGGTCGGGGAAGCGCTGCCTCCTCTGTGGGACACTGCCGTTGTCACCAACTGTCAGGCTCAAGTTGAGCATGGTTGCTTGGCGTGGCTTGGTGTGGCTTGGTGGCGAGAGCGAGGGCCCAGTCTTACCCTCTCTCTCTCTCGCGCTGAAGAAGGTGGAGCGTGGGCGGGGTGGAGAGAACGCGCCATGGACGAGGGAGAGGCGGCGGAGCGATGGATTGAGAGCGAGGCTGGTCGCACGTCGTTGCATCGGCGCTGCGCAGGAGGGAAGGGGAAGGTGGAGGGGAGGTTGAAAGCAACGAGAGGGAAGGTTGAAAACAACGAGGGGGGGAGGAAGAAGAAAAGTAAGGGACGATACGGGTGGAGCAGAGGGAGAGAGAGGAGGTTCGGGCACCTACGACCATGAGGGGCGCATCGACCCAGACAGCCTCTTGCAGGTAGCCTGACCAGGTCAACCACACGCATGGACTTTGAACTGAGATCTACCTGCTCCCACGCGGCCTCGCTTCGAGCCGCACAGATCAACCACGGACTGGTTCAGCAAAGGCAAAACTGTGGGGGCACTGCCACTTGATCCGCAAGTATGTGGCACATATACATACGCAGTCAGCTTTTGCAGCTACGCCGGGCTGGCAGGATGAGCTGCGATATATCTTTCATATGTATACCGACACAGCTGCACAGTAAAACATATGTTGCATGTACATATATCGTATACGTGCGTGTGCATGTGCTTGTACTTGTGCAGGTGCGTATGTCTGTGAATGTATCGGAGGTCAGGGGGTGAGTCCGATGTGAAAAGGAGACCCCCCCTACCGGGAAATCGATTTCGGTTTCGGGTTCGTGTCGTGCGTGCCGTGCGTGCGTGCGGGCGAGGCGAAGCTGCGTGGGGGGGCGAGAGGAAATCCTCCTGTGGCTGGGCCGCGGCCGGACCAAATGTAACTCCTCTGGCGGCTGGTGCCCCGCGGTGTCCCGCTGGTGTCCCGTGGTGTCCCGAGGTGTCCAGTTGAGTGAGATCGATCGTGAGGTCGATAGTGAGATCAAGAGGTGTCCCGTGGTGTCCCGTAGTGTCCCGCTGAGTGAAATCGATAGTCAGATCGATAGTGAGATCGACAGGTGTCCCGTGGTGTCCCGTTGAGTGAGATCGATAGTGAGATCGATAGTGAGACCCATAGTGAGATCGATGTGGTGTCCCGAGCTGTCCCGTGGTGTCCTATGGTGTCACGCTGAGTGAGATCGATAGTGAGATCGATAGTGAGACTGATAGTGAGATCGAGAGGTGTCCCGCGGTGTCCCATGGTGTCCCGTGGTAGCCTGTGGTGTCCCGTGGTGTCCCGTTGAGTGAGATCGATTGTGAGATCGATAGTGAGATCGACAAGTGTCCCGTGGTGCCCCGCCGGTGTCCCGTGGTGTCCCGTGGTGCCCCGTTGAGTGAGATCGATAGTGCGATCGATTGAGTCAGATGCGGGTTCCCCCCCTCTCCCCCCCCACAACCTCCTTATCACCCGAAGGGTGGTCGTATAGGCATGCATCGGAGGTTGGGGGGTGAGTCCGACGCGAAACGGAGACCCCCCCTACCGGGAAATCGATTTCGGTTTCGGGTTCGTGTCGTGCGTGCCGTGCGTGCGTGCGGGCGAGGCGAAGCTGCGTGGGGGGGCGAGAGGAAATCCTCCTGTGGCTGGGCCGCGGCCGGACCAAATGTAACTCCTCTGGCGGCTGGTGTCCCGCGGTGTCCCGCTGGTGTCCCGCCGGTGTCCCGAAATCCTCCTGTGGTTCCGGACCAAATGTAACTCTTCCGGCGGCCGGTGCCCCGCGGTGTCCCGCCGGTGTCCCGTGGTGTCCCGTGGTGTCCCGTGGTGTCCCGTGGTGTCCCGTGGTGTCCCGTTGAATGAGATCGATCGTGAGATCGATATTGAGATTGATACTGAGATCGATGTGATGCCCTGAGGTGTCCCGTGGTGTCCCGTGGTGTCCCGTTGAGTGAGATCGATAGTGAGATCGATAGTGAGATCGACAGGTGTCCCGTGGTGTCCCGTGGTGTCCCATTGAGAGAGATCGATAGTAAGGTCGATAGTGAGATCGATAGTGAGATCGATGTGGTGTCCCGAGCTGTCCCGTGGTGTCCTATGGGGCCCCGCTGAGTGAGACCGATAGTCGAGAGGTGTCCCGCGGTGTCCCGCGGTGTCCCGTGGTGTCCGGTGGTGGCCCGTAGTGTCCCGTTGAGTGAGATCGATAGTGAGATCGATAGTGAGATCGATAGTGAGATCGACAAGTGTCCCGTGGTGTCCCGTGGTGTCCCGTGGTGTCCCATTGAGTGAGATAGATAGTGAGATCGATTGAGTCAGATGTTGGTTCCCCCTTCTCCCCCCCCCCTTACACAACCTCCTTATCACCCGAAGGGTGGTCGTATAGGTACGTACGCGTGTATGTATGTGTGCGTATACATGTGTTCAGATGTGCATATGTCGATGAAATGCGAAAGGGTATGTTTATGTGCGCGTCTGCGAAGACATACACATATGCATGTGTATATGTACATGCACATGCGAGTGCATATGCATGTGAAGACGCGCGTGCATATGCTGATGTATGGCTGCACATGGGTGCATATGTATATGTGTATGGATACGCATGATCAGCGTATAATATATAACGATACATAGATAAGCATGTAATGGACAGAGTGTAAATGCCTCTGCTCGCCAGAGACAATTTTGTCCGACCGCTCAGCACCGAGGTGATCTCTTCGAACATGTAAATGATGCCACCTGGCGGCGGCGCAGCAGAGCTCGCCAGCACCCTGTCATGTTGGTTAATTTACACTGCATTCCGCCTGGTGCCCCTGCCTGGCACTGGCCCTGCGTAAAAGGCGGCAACACCGAAAATACCACCACGATGAATGAATAGGCAGGCCTGAGCTGGATGGAATCACGAAACCGGATCGGATCGGCAACGGATCGGATCGCCATCGAATCGTCCGAAGCGAATCGGAATCGGACGGCCGCGCCCAGCAACAGCTGGCCCTGGCCATGCCGGCGAACGAATCAAACCCAATCGGATCGAACCGGGATCGCGGCCCCAGGCGGCGAGTCGAATCGCATCGAATCGCATCGTGGGCGGCCCTGCACGGGCTTCTCTTGCCGCGTTCAGGAACGACGGGGCACGGGGTGGCGACTGGCGGGGGCCTCGGCGAGCGCCGATCGCGGAGCGCGTGGCGTGTCGTTGGGCGGGTCGCGGTGCGACAGCGAAAAGAAGAAAGGCACCAGCAACAGACAGCAAAGGCAACCCGTACCGCGGACCACCGCTTCAGCCACGCACCCAAGGACAGCACAAGAAGCATCCGCAAACCCACACTGTAAAGCACGAGATACTGATGTGCACCAGCTCTTTCCATTGAAGCATGAATCGTGTGAGCGCGCATGTAGACAAGGAGTATGCCCATTGTTATACGCTCGTATGCCAGGCATGTGCACGTCATGTGTATGGAGTCTTCACGCTGTCTCAGGCACGTGCCATACGTACTCACATCCCCGGCGTGACGCATCCCACATCTACACTGTACACAAGACGGCTCAAGCCAATCTTCCACGCAAGACGTGCAACACATCGGAAATGCTACGCACGCACACCGCAGAGGCGTACCTGTCGCACGTTCACGTGCGGCACATCCTTGTCCTGCGGGTGCCAATGTTCAGAAATTTCTGCGTGCCCCTCCTTTCTTCTTCGTGCGTGGCCGCCCGGTCGGCTGGGCGGGCACCGGCTGGCGGCGAGCCAGTGCTGATGTAAAACCGATATGTTATATAGGACGGACCCCACGGCATAGCTGGCTGGCTCAGCCGGGGCCGACGTCCCGCCTCGCAGCAAGGTCACGCCCTTGTCCCAGACTGGCCGCCCGTGGGGATTCTTTTCCCAGGACCCGGAGGAGGGGGGGAGGGCCCGCCCAGGCTGCGGCGAGGGGTGGGGAGGGGGCGGGGGAGGGCAAGGGAGGGGCGGCAACGGCAAGGAGGGTGACCGGGGGGAGGAAGGGGAAGGGCAGGGGAGGCTGAGGAGGGGGAACCGTCCTGCCTTCTTCTCTCTCTCATCCTTCATCCCCCCCCCGCCCTCCTCCTGATCTTCTTCCAGCGCCCGCTCCTCCCCCCTCTCCGCCGGCCCCCTGCTTCTGCTCCTCCCCTTCCTGCTCCTGGTCACCCTCCGTCCTCCACATCCTCCTCGTCCTCCTCGTCCCCCTGCTCCTGGTCCTCCTCGTCCTCCTCCTCGTCCTCCTCGTTATCTTCCCCTCGTCCTCCTCGTCCTCCTCGTCCCTCGTCACCCTCCTCCTAGTCCTCCTCGTCCTCCTCGTCCTCCTCGTCCTGGTCCTGGTCACCCTCCGTCCTCCTCGTCCTCCTGCTCCTCCCTCTCCTCCTCGTTATCTTCCCCCTCCCCCTCCCCCTCCGCCATCCCTTCTCCCTACGGATGGCTCCTCCTCGCCTGCCCACCAGACGTGTCGATAGGGCGGGCCAGGCGATTCGCCTGAGACTTCCTCCCCGCCTGTGTCCCCTTGAAAGTTCCAACCGTGACACGGATTGAATAGGAAAACTACAACATGTGGCTCTCGCCTTCGCGCCGCGCACATTCGTCTCACTACAAGTACACGGCAGCTTCACGGACGGAGAGGGTGGCTTTCAACATGTGGCTCTTGCCTTATCGCCACGCGCATTCCTTTTAAACAAGTCTCACAGTTACGCGCATGACGAGCGGATCCTTTTCAAAATGTGGCTCTCTTCTTAAGGCCGCGCACACTCGTCTTACGAATTCCCGACAGCTTCACGGATGGAGGGGATGGCTTTGAACATGCGGCTCTCGCCTCAGCGCCGCGAGCATTCCTCTTCACGACTTCCCACAGCTAGGAGAGCGGCTCATTTTAAACATGTGGCTCTCTCTGCTGCGTCGATCGCATTTCTCTTCAAAGTGTCCGACCGTTACGCGGATAGAGGGCAATTTCTTGTCAAGTGTGACTCTCACCTTAGCGCCGCACACATTCCGCATCAAAAAAATCCTACGCCGATGAGGCACACATCCTTTTCCAAATATGATCCCCGCCGTAGCGCTGTGCACATTCGTCAAAAAAAGCTTCCAACAAGTTCGCGGAAGCAGGTTGGCTCCCTTTCAAAACAGAATTGTCATCTGAGGCGTCCTCGACCCTCACGATCCGAAGTTGAAATTGTGCAACAGCTACGCGAATGGCTGGCAGCTTGGCTTAACTTCAAATCGCAGCTTTCGCTTGTGACAGTCTCCTGTTCTCTGGTCAGACGGACGCTTAAACTTTGAGACTATTTGCGCACGGCCCTGACCCGAATTGAAGGACCATGGGTTGATCGACTTTCAAGGGTGTACTTCCAGCAGTGGGAAGGACGATCCAGTAGGGACTTATGAGGAGGGAACTTGGGACGGGTGGGCGACATGCAGCATCGCTGATGCATCTTGGATTTACTCGGGTCCTACTCCTCCCCCATCTGCACTACCATTCTCATTTGGATGGTGCCGCTATCGTTGACGGGGTCGCCCCGCGCTAGGCGTTTCTGGGCAATACCATGATGGATGAGTGAGCGGAACAGATGGCGCTGGCACTGAAGATAAGACTTATCGGCGAGTTAGTGAGACAGAACGCACACAAGATCAGAGACCCCAGAGTGTACGCTTCAAAATGATGGAAGCGAAGCGTCAGCCTTTTCTACTTCGCTACCAACTTCTCCGTGCAGCGCTGGACTGCATCAAGGCCGAGGACGAACCCAGGAGAACGGAACCGCCTGTTCATCCTTTCCCTCTTCCTCATTCGAGGGTAGTGGTATCCAATTGTGACATGCACGTGCAAGAGACGATAGTGATCGAAACGGACGAGGTGTTTCGGGACAGCTCTAGGGCCACAGCAAGCCTATGGAAAGCGACCCCGTGTCTCCAATCCTCGAATCTCGATGGGGCGAGTCACGCACTCGCCGTGGAAGGCTACCTTTGTTCAGCTGGGGCTGGGGAGCACAGGAGCCGCTGTACAGTGGAGGCCAGTCCACAAGAAACATTCCACGAGAAACCCAACCCTGAGACCCCAGGAAGTCCATCGATTTTTGGGTGTGGGAACGTCGCGCAAAACCATCGAAACCCAAGAAGCCCAAGAAACCCAGAGCACCCTGGAGGCAAGCAGGGCGTTTCTTGGCATGGGTCTCCACTGTATGAATATCAGCATGAGGCTGGGCAAATGGTTTTGCGCGCGCGCGGGTCTGAACTTCAGCTCTGGGCGGTGCCACCGATCGGCGAGTCGAACAGCATCGCCATGCCGCAGGCGCCGCCCACGGTGCAGACGATGCGCTTCGCGTGCTCGAAGCGCTCCTCGCGGGAGGGGCCTCGTCGTCCTCCTCCCCCTCCTCCTCCTCCTCCTTCTTCTCCTGGCCTCGTCGTTCCCGTCGGCGTCGCTCCAAGATCGGAAATCGAGGAGCGAACGTCTGTGGCGTTTTCGGCTTGGTCTGAGGCTCCAGAGGCCGCTGGCGGCCCTTGGAGGCCTCCAGGGGCCTCTGGAGGCCTCCGGCGGCCTCTGGAGACCTCTTGAGGTCGTCGTCGTCGTGGTCGACCCTCGAGGGCGTGGACCAGGGTCGGACAACCAGTCCTGAGGCCGATCGCCGGGCGACTCGGACAGTCGATTGAAAAAAACATCAAGCATGCCCGAATGCCCGAAGCCCCTTAGAGCGTCCAATGCCGCGCCCAACGCGCTCAAAACCCAGTGCACCGGCGGATTTCAATCTGTCGGCTCCCGCTTCGCCGGAAGCTGCGGTCAATAGCCTTTGGCTAGAAGACATCAAGCAGGCCTGGACTGAGAGGGGACAAATCTGCCCTCGCGTTGGGGGGGGCCGCTGACAAGCCGTCCCAAACAGCACGGCAGACGATGAGGATGAAGGAAACCTGGTGATTGGCATGACTTGGCATGACTTGGAGGCGAGGGCGAGAGTCGAAAATTATCCCTGATGCCCAATCGGAATCCCTGTGAACGCAAATCGTGCGCCCAACACACTCATAGCCATAGCCCTTGCGCTGGCTGCATTGGAGTCTCCCGCGCCCTGTTTCGGATGACCGACGCTCCCGAGCACAAAAGAAAATCCGCCACCGTACCTCTTGCGCAAAGCGGAGTGCCCCAAGGCTCACAGCCGTGCTGCTGCTGCAGCCAAGATTGAAGTTTCTTCAGGTCCAGAGTTCCGGGCCATGTTCTGGGCCGTCCTAAGGTCTTCTGGGGTCTTCTGGGATTTCTCCTGTGATTTCTTGGGTGTTTCCTGTCGGTTCTCTGGACGCTGTGCCCGCCCAAAGCGACCTCCCGAACCCTCCGATGTGTCCAGGAAGAGCTCCGATTCGGTGAAGATTGCTCCAAGACGCCAAAGATGGCCTCAAAAAACGGCCCAAAACGCCTCCAAGACGGCCCACGAGGCCTCTAAGAGCACTCGCAAGAGGGGCCCAAGAGGCCAAAGCCATTGATTTCCCTTAGGTTCTGAAGGATTTGGGCTTTTCCGCCTTGCCTGGTTCCCGAAGCTCCAAGATGGCCCAAGACGCCACAAAGATCTCCCCAAGCCGGCCCAAGAGGCCGTCAAGCTCAAGAAGGTGCCGAGACGGTCCAAGAGGCCCCCAAGACGGCCCCAGAGGCCTCCAAGACGGTTCAAGAGGGCCCCAAGAACACCCCAAGAAGGATCCCAGAGGGCGAGCACGAACCGACATTTCGGGCTCTCCGCCCAAAGAGGCCCCCAGGAAGCCCAAGAGGCCCCCCAAGAGGCCCCCGAGAGGCCCCAAGAGACCCCCACAGCCCCCAAAGAGGCTCCCAAGAGGCGTCAAAACTGCACCCCAGAGGCCACCGAAAGCCCTCCGAAGAGACCCGAGCATCCATGAGGACCAACCCATGCACGGCGGCGCGATGGGCCGAAGACCACTGGATCCGCCGCCCCCTCTTGATTTATCACAGGGGTTCCTGGCGCGCTAGATTTCGTAAAAAAATTGTTTTAAAACTCACCCTGGGTCGGGGATCTTCTGACCCGGGTCAATCCAAACCCGGGTCAGCCAAGCCTTGCAGAATCCTGGAAAGGCCTGCAAGATCCTGCACCCAAGCCCAGGTAAACGCGAAGGATCCTGCAAGATCCTGCGGGATCCCGGGTCAGTGCGACCCTGGCCCTTCAGGATCCTGCAAGATCCGGCGATCCGGCTGACCCCCGTTTGCAGTGACCCCCGTCTCGAGGCTCCCGACTGGGGTTTCGGCTCATTGGGCCGGCCACCAGGAAGGCTCCCCGAATCCCCCTCTCATGGCCCAAATCGCCCCTCAGGACGGCCCAGGTGAGCCGACATGGCCTCCAAGATGCCTCGAAGGCGGCTCCAAGACGGCCAAGATGGCTCCAAGAGGGTCCGCTCCACATGGCGCGAGGATGCACCCAAGACGGCCCAAGATGCACCCGAGACAACCAAAGATAGCCCCAAGATGGCCCAAGACGACCCGAGAGGCCCCCAACAGACCTGGAAGATGGCCCAAGAAGCCTCCAAAAGGGCCTCCAGAAAGACCCGACGAGGCCTAAATCACTGATGATCCGAAGGTTTTTGCAAGATGTTCGCATTTGCTTCTTCAAAACGGCCTTACGAAGGGCCAAGACGGCCCAAGAGGCCCCGAATACTCGTCCAAGAGGCCTCCAAGACAGCCCCAGGACGGCCCAAGAGGCTCTCAAGACGACCCCCAAAGGGCCCCGAGACGGCCCAAGAGGCCTCCAAGACGCCCAAGATGGCGATCAAGACGGCCCCGAAGCGCCCCAAGAGGGCCCCAAGACGACCCACGGAGGCTCCGAAGACGGCATCCCACGGCGCAAGATGGGCCAGGAACGCCGTAAGACAGCCAAAGAGGCTCCCAAGTCCCAAGAAACACCCAAAGGCCCCCAGGAGGCCCAAGGAGGCCCCCAAGAGGCCTCCAAGAGGCCCCCAGGAATCTCTCAGGAGGCCCCAAGAATAACCCACAAGAACCTCCCAAGAGGTCTCATCATCCTTCTTCTCATACTCCTTTGTACTCCCTCCCTCTCATTGTCCTCTTCTTCCTCCCCCACGTGTTCCCCGAAGGGCTTCCACAACGACTGGGGGAACGCATTGTCCAATAGCGTGGCCAAACGTTGCCCGAACGTTTGGCAGCATAGGCGCATGATTCGCGGCGGTGATTCGCAGTAGGCGCCTTCAACAGAAGGGGACGCGAACCAATATCAAACAACCACCGCCTCCCAGAATCGAGGGGGGCAAATCCTCCGAGTTTCTTAATATGCGTCGGGGGGGCGCCACCCCCGCCGACAGCCCCACATCGACCCCCGTCGCAAGCAGCCACCGCGCGCCGAAGGCGCTCCGACCCCCGTCGCGGCGCGACGACGAGGCGAGGTTGACCCCCGTCTGGGGGGTACCCCCCTGCGCTTATTGAGAGACCCAGAGTACCCCCCCGCTCGCGGCAGTCCTGGCCACGCCCGGCCCTGCGCCCAGGACCGGCAGACGCGCCCTCCAGGCCCTGCCAGAGCAAGGCGGGCACGCCGATCCCAGACGGCTGGGCCTGGCCAGGACCGCTGCGGGCACGCGCGACGTGGCCCCTGTCGTGACGACTTGCGCGCTGGCCTCGGACCCCGCGGGGACCCTGGAACCTCGAAAGATCGCGGGTCTCCGACAGCACGGGGAGTTCGACGTCGGTCGATTCCAGGCCACTGGCGGCGTTCAAACTTGAACGATCGCGCCAGGGTCGCCGCCACGTCGACAGAACACGAACCCACCGTAGTTACTCCTCCTCCTCCTCCTCCGATGGATCTGAATCTGGAGGCGCGATCTCGAGTCGAGGTGGCTCGACCGGGCCCCCAGAGACCACGCCCTCGCCCACGCCATCAGAGGCCAAACTAGCCCAGGCGTCGCCGAAGCGGCCTGGCCCTGGGGCGAACTCGGTGCCGCGTCGGAGCGCCGCTGTCGATTCGGTTCCTGCCCCTCCTCGCCCCTGTTCTGCTCTTGGACCCCCCCCAGCTCTTCCTCACCGTCCTCCTCTTCCTGCTGCTGCTGCTGCTGCTGCTGCTGCTGCTGCGGCGGCGGCGGCGGCGGCTGCTGCTGCTGCGGCTGCTGCTGCTGCTGCTGCTGCTGCTGCTGCTGCTGCTGCGGCTGCTGCTGCTGCTGCTGCTGCTGCTGCTGCTGCTGCTGCTGCTGCTGCTGCTGCTCATCCTTCTCGTCCGAAATGAGGCCGCGAGGGGCCGTGCAGCAGGGGGAAGCCACGACAGCGATGCAGGAATCCCCCAGAGGTGGAGGGAAGGCTCCTCCCTGACCCCCTCGTCCCTCCTCCTCCTCCTCATCCTCCTCCTCGCCCTCCTCCTCCTCCTCCTCCTCCTCCTCCTCCTCCTCCTCCTCCTCCTCCTCCTCGCCCTCCTCGCCCTCCTCCTCCTCCTCCTCCTCCTCCTCCTCCTCCTCCTCCTCCTCCTCCTCCTCCTCCTCCTCCTCCTCCTCCTCCTCCTCCTCATGCATGCCTTCTCCCTTCATAATCCACTCTCCCTCACGCATCCTCCCTCCTGGAATCCTCTGCGGCAGCTGCGAGCTCGATTCAGGAGAAGCCGAGGAAGGTCGGCCTGGTCGGCGGGCGGGCCCGCCAGACCAGTTCGCGCAAGTTCCACCGCAGGCTCCATCAAAAATGGCCGGCGACCTACCTGGAGCGGCTGAACTCGAGAGCGACGCAGAAAAAAGGGGCCATGCGGGAGGCACGCCGATCCCCCTCTCAGACCTCGGACGTCGTGATGCGTTCACAGAGTCAGGCCCTGGAGCTCACGACCTCCTCCATTTGGGACCAGTTGCCCGTCGCGCGTCGCTCGGTCGCGATCCTAGGGCCCACAACGAATGGGCCTCCAGAGGCACTTGTTGCGAAAACCTGGCCGCCCCGACTCTTTCGTGAGATGCTGGGTGCCCGGATCTGCCCACGGAGTCCTCGTCGATCACCATGGTGCTCACCTTTAGAAAGTCCAAGGTTCGCTAGGGACTGGTTTCCTTTGAAAGCAACCGAGACCCTCCCGAAACCCTCCGAAACCCCTCCAGGAAGGGTTCTGGGAAGGTTTTTCGGAGGGCTTCGGGAAGGTTTTGGAAGGGTTTTCGTTGTTCTGGGGGGAAGCCAATACCCAGCGAACCCTGGGCTTTCTAAGGTCACCTCCAGGTGCCCTCGCACCACGACGTCCACCCCACGTGCTCGGCATGTGCGCGGCCCAGGGGGCGGGCCAGGGACGTAACGAAAGAAGGAGATGCGCCATGAAATCTGGGGAAATATCACGGCCCACGCCATGATATCCACCGCCCCCTAGAACATCACCCCCCTCTTTGCCGTCCCCGATCCTCGTCGATCACCATGGTGGTCACCTCCCGGTGCCCCCGCACCACGACGTCCACCCCCACGTGCTTCTCCACGTGCGCCTCCCCCAGGGCCTGGGTGATGAGGTAGGCGACGTTGCTCCCCATGGCGACCTCGGGCCGCCGCGCACCCGACGGTGCCCGGGCTGTTCCTCCCGGCGGCTGGCTCTCGAGCGCCAGCGTCGAAGCGGACGCCCCTCCACAGCTCCTCGAATCGAGCGCCCCCCCAGGGACCCTTCCCAGGGATCCCCCCCTCCAAGGACCTCCTCCTCCTCCTCCTCCTCCTCCTCCTCCTCCTCCTCCTCCTCCTCTGCAGCTGGCACGCTCGGCGTCCACAGAGGGAGCACAAACAAATCCTCCTCCTCCTCCTCCTCCTCCTCCTCCTCCTCCTCCTCCTCCTCGCCCTGCTCCTCCTCCTCCTCCTCCTCCTCCTCCTCCTCCTCCTCCTCCTCCTCCTCCTCCTCCTCCTCCTCCTCCTCCTCCTCCTCCTGTTACCATCACCAAGACCACCACCATCATCGCCGCCACCGCCAGCACCATCATCGCCGTCACCACCATCACCCCTGCCACCGTTCTTCAGTGCCGTACGCTCCCTGCCCCACAACTCTCCCTCTTTCGGAGCAGAAGGTGAGATGACGAGACCGCTGCTCCCTGGACCTCTCCCGGGGCGCGCTCTGACCAGGACTCCGAGGCGGATCCAGCCGTGGCAGCAAGGAGCCCCAAAAATTGCGAAAACGAGGGAAGACCTTTACATCGGCATTTGCGTCTGCCTTGCCCCCTCGTCTGCTTCTTCCCCCAATCGCGCACCTACCAATCCTGTCGAAATGCACCATGCGGTCCACGCGCGCGCGCGTCTCCGCGAGCGCACGTCGCACTCCTCCAAAAAACAATGTTTGTTGTGTGGTTGTCCCAAGCACTTCAACACATGTGTGCACGAACATCTACAACAGCCCAGTGAATCTGAAATACAAAGTTCACCTTGCTATTTGTTTCGCACGCGCGTACGCACTTCCTCATCGTCCTCATCCATACAGAATCGGTGATCAACGCCAGAGTCATCATCGTCATCATCATCCGCATCGTCATCACCATCGTCATCGCAAGCAGCCCATCAACATCATCATCACCAACAACAGCAACAACAACATCGTCGTCATCATCATCAGCACCAGCGTCGTAATCAGCGATGTCGCCGCTCTGGTCAAGGTTTTGTGTGGGTACACGTCCTCATCATCCTCTCCAGAACCATCGATCTTATCATCGCCAGACTCGTTATTGCCACCAGCATCACCACCATCATCGTCATCAAAATCACCATTACCATGGCCACCCGCGTCGCCGACATCGCCCCCACCGTCGCCATGCATATCCTCATCGTCATCGTCACGGTGGCTGTCGATACCCAATTGAGTCTTGCCAACGAGAAACAGGCGGGCGGTAGGATGAAGGCGCAAGGGCAGCCCGTGCAGGTACAGCGCATAGAGTCAACCCGTGCAGTAAGGATGCGCGATAAGGATGCAAGGGCCTTGGACGCTCAATTCGAAGCTCTTCGAGCGGGGCGCGGCCAACGAACGTGGCGAAGGATGGACCGAGGGGGCAAGGATGCAAGGAAACCCTTGGGAAGGCTGCCCATCCTTATTTCGTGAGGGCGGGTGATTTTCAGAATGTGGCTCTCGCCTTAGCGCGGCGCACATTAGTTTGAACAACTTGCTAGGGCTTCACGGATTGAGGGCAGGTGGTTTTCAAAATGTGGTTCTCGCCGCAGCGCGGCGCACATCTGATTTTAAATGTGCAAGAGTTTCACGGATTGAGGGCGGATGGTTTTCAAAACGTGGCTCTCCCCATAGCGCGGCGCACATTCGCAAAAACAAATTGCAAGGAGTTCCACGGATTGAGGGCGGCTCCTTTTCAAAATGTGGCTCTCGCCTCAGCGCGGCGCACATCCGGTTGAAAAAATGAAAAGTTTCACGGATTGAGGGCGGGTAGTTTTCAAAATGTCGCTCTCGCATTAGCGCGGCGCACATTCGCTTGAAAATGTGCCAGAGTTTCACGCATTCCCATCATCAACATGCCAGAAATGGTGTTTTCAAAGAAGTCAGGACTGTGCGGGCGCAACAATTATGTTGATGAAGTCCCAGGAATTGCGTGCTGGTACGATTGACGATCGTCAAGACGCAACTGTCAGGTCGATCCGTGGCGTTGGAATCCCGAGAACAATGTTCTGGCATGCTTCAGGGTCTTCAAACGGTTGTCTTCCAACGAGGCAGTTCCCTCAATGGAAATGAACCGTTGCAGGGGCCTATGAAGAGGGATCTTGGAGGGAGGGTGTATTCCAACATCGTTGATAATTCTTGAGTTTACCCTGGTCCTCCTCCTTCTCCTCCTCCTCCTCCTCCTCCTTCTCCGCATCCCTCCTACCCCTCCCCTCTCCTGGCCCCACCTTCCTCCTCCTTCCTCCCCCTCCGTCATCATCCCTCCGCATCCCTCCTCATCCCTCTCTCCTCCATCGCCCGCTCCTCCTCCTTCCCCCCCCCCCCTTTCCCGTCCTCCCTCCTGCTGCCTCCCCCCTCCTCCTCCCCCCTCCTCCCTCCTCCTCCTCCTCCTCCTCCTCTCTTCTTCTTCTTCTTCTTCTTCTTCTTCTCTTCTTCTTATCTCTTCCTCCTCCTCCTCCTCCTCCTCCTCCTCCTCCTCCTCCTCCTCCTCCTCCCTCCTCCTCCCTCCTCCTCCTCCCTCCTCCTCCTCCCTCCCCCTCCTCCTCCTCCTCCTCCTCCTCCCTCCTCTCTCCCTCCTCCTCCTCTTCCTCTCCTCCTCCTCCTCCTCCTCCTCCTCCTCCTCTTCTTCTTCCTCCGCCCTCCTCCTCCTCCTCCCTCCTCCACCTCCTCCTCCTCCTCCTCCTCCTCTTCCTCCTCCTCCTTCTCCCTCCTCGTCCTCCTCCTCCCTCCCTCCCTCCCTCCTCCTCTCTCTCTCTCTCTCTCTCTCTTTCTCTCTCTCTCCCTCTCCTCCCCTTTCCCCGCGCCCAGCGCTCCCGAGGCCGCGGCAGTGGGGCCCTCGCGGCCGACCGGGTAGCCCGCACTGTTCGCCAGCATGGTGGCCACGGCCCGCGCCAGCAGGGTGCGCTGCGTGAAGAGGCCGGGCATCGGGTTGCCGTTGAGCCAGCCTGGCCGGGTGTCTCGGCAGCATCGACGCGCGCCAGCAGCATCAACTGAAATAGCAGGGGGCAAGCGGCGGAAGGATCATTTTGATGCACTCTGTACGCGGTGGAAGCATGTGCACGCATTTGACGTTCAGCTTTCATTTGACTTCGGGAAAGTGAGTTGGGACCTCTACGTGAAGCCCATGTGCAAGTTTCTGTAGTACCATACACGTCTGCACACCATAGCCACGTGTTCGCTTGCCGTTGAGCCAGCCTGGCCGGGTCTCGGCTTAGGTCGGGCGCGTCCCCCTACTGGCTGATTTTTTAAAGAAAAATGAGAAAATCAAAAGATGCTCAAACATAGTCTCAACAATGGCTTTAAAAAAATGTCCCCTGACTATTGTTGGGCGATTGTCTATTGTTATAGACTCCTCCTGTAGAGGGACGTGCCCGACTTAACGGCAGCATCGACGCGCGCCATGGGGAACACACAATAACATAAGTACGGAGAAACTCGGAGGTCCGCGCGGACTCCTCGGATCGGCGCTAGCTGCGCCTCCAGCGCCGCCCCTGGCGCTCCGCGCGCCAAGGAAGGGGGGGTCCAGCGCCGGTACAAGACATCCGCACGGACCGCCAAGGTTGTACGTCTATGTCGTTGCTTGTCCCCTCGCATGATCGACAGACGTTTGACGCAGCATCGACAGACGTTCGACGCGGCATCGACGCAGCCCGTCGGCGGTGCGAGGCACACAGACACCGTGCTGCGGCAGATTCGCGTTTTGCCGACTTCGGCGTTGGTTTCCGACGCCGCGGCGTTGGCTCAACCTTGAACGATCGCGGCTTTCCGATAGTGCAGATCGCTCGACATCGGCCGATCCTGAGCCACTGGCGGCGGTTAACCTGGAACGCCCGCGCTGGGGTCGCCGCCGCACCAACGCGGCGCAGACCTGCCGCAGGGTGTTTCGGTTCAGCGTGGTTTCGGGGGGGGGGTCCCCCGAGCGAGCCTCTGCAGGCTTCCGGAGAAAAAAACAAAAACAACAAAACAACAAAAAAAACTCGGGAAAAGGAGGGCGCCAGCGTCGGGCCCCGCGCCCTCTGCGAGGGCCGCCCCCCGCCCGTTGCGCGCACGTCCCTGCAGGCGCACCGCCGATCGCGCGCCGATGCCGCGTCGCACGCAGGCCCCGATCCCCGACGAGATCCCCTCGAGCCAAGAAAAACTTTCAATGTTTTTTGTTATCTCCAATCTCCCGGGGCCCTTACCGGGCCTCGGGACCGTCAAAAACACGGCTCGGGAGGAAAAACCGGTCCCGGGGAATGGGCCGAGACCTTCGGGGGGCGACGTTGTGAGGAGAATCCTGACGTCGGGGGGAGGGAGGGTGTTCCCCGACCGACGGAGTCGAAAGATACCAGAACGTCCTCGCCTCTAGCTTTTGTGCCACACCTCGGTTCCACAGCAACTGTCAGTACTGCGTCCACGTAGTACAGGAGGAGGAGGTAGTGAATCGGGAATGGGGAGTAGGGTGAATCGGGGGAGGTCTCGAGATTGTCAACGGATGGGCGAGAAACGGCTTGAGCAAAAGTGATTGCGGCAGTACTCAACTCCCTGCTATGACGTTTCAATCGAAATGGGGGCTGTCCAGATCAATGAGCCGGAGGCGCCATTTCCAACAGTTCCCCGGAAATTGTGGACTGAACGCGGGAGAAGGTGCACGCGCAAAACCTCCGGCCCTTTCTTGAAAAACAAAAAAAACAAAAGCATAGAAAGAAGGTGACACTCGAGCTCGAGTTCTAGGACACGGCCAAGGATTCTCGCTGTCAAAAAACATATATGCTGCACATACTCTGGCCTCCTGGCGTTCTCCTGGGAAGCAATCGCCGGCACGAGCGAGCTTTAAACACAGCGCGCCAACGACGCGACTGAAAAGGCGCGCGACCTCTGTCTCCGGCATCGTGGCCAGCCGAGAGGAAAGAGAAGAGGGCGCAAAGAGAGAGAGAGAGAGAGAAAGAGAGAGGTGAAGCACGCCTATCCTAGGAGCCTTTTCGAGGCGGCCCGTGGCCGATCTCTCGAGGCGGGATCATCCTTTCGAGCCTGAAGCGGCTCGCACTCGGCTGTGAGTCGCAGGGCCCCAGACTTGAGGAGGCGGAGTTGCGCCGCATTGTTTTTGACCAGATCCGATTTCGTGAGACAGTCCACTGGCATAAATGGATGCGGCATCCATCGCATGGAAGATCCGATCCGTCCCAGGGTTTCTCCAGTGACGGTTCGACGATCTGAATTGGCCCCCGACGTGAGCTTGGATAGTGCTTCGTAGATGCCCTTGGCGCCCACCACACTCGCATTTTTACAAGTTGCGGAGGACCTGAAATGTGACACTGCTCCTTAAGAAGAGTCACGAATGGTTCCAAGTTCCCACGCCCCCAGCACAGGGAACGCCATCTTTCGTTCACCACGTTCCCACGGCTGACGTCCAGCAGGGGAATCTGGAGCCACTCTGCTTCTCCTGAGGCCCTCGATGGAGCGAGAGCCCCCCCGGCTAGCGCGGAGGGGGCCCGCCTCTTCAGCTTGCCCGATCTCCAGGCCGCGGGAGCCACTCTGGCCCGCGAACAATGAGCCATTGAATCATCGGCCATGTAGACCTGCCAGGCCTCTCGGAGGCGCTGGGGCCCCCCCTTATCTCCCGCCCCAACTCCCCAGAATCGCAAGCGGCGGCAAGCGCGAAGCCGTCAGGCTTCAAGCGCCAGACGGTGATTGGAACAGAGGCCGTCGACCGTAAATGATCGACCATCTTCTTGGCTTCTAGAAGGTCTTTCACGCTGGGCTCGTTGACTTGCGCGGCCAAAGTGAAGGCCGCCCCCGCGGCCTCGGCCCCGGTTTCCCGCCCCGCCCACCAGAGTTGCAAACCAGGGACCATAAAGCCGCCACTTCCCCTCCCACGAAAGCAGCAACACGATTTCCCCTTCGCCTCCGGGCCCAAGGGACTTTCTGGAGTTGTTCCAGGAATTGTTTTTGGGCCCACAAGGATTCGACCCCCATCAGTAGGAGTCTCCTTCCTATACCATCGACTCCCACGGAGTCCAAGCGTTTCTTTTTCCAGAGGTGAATCGTTTCTGGAAGGGCTCTACGCAGTCTTTCTCTTTCCCCCCCTCCTGGAAGGCCATGGCCCAGTCGTCGACTCCCACGAGCACCTGAGCTTTGAGTTGTCCTGGGGACCATTGAACGAACCAGCGGGGCCCCCGGCGGGCCCGCTCGAAACCCTGGGACTCCACGCAGTTCGCCGTGGCCCGGTGGAAGGCCAACGGCGCGTCATCTAGATCACGCACGGGCGCGATCAGCTCGATGAGAGACCCTGGTGGCACCGGGACTCCGTCGCACGGTTCCATAAAAACTCTGCCTCGCGCGCTCTTAAGAGGCTCGGACTGGCAGACGGCACTGTTGGATGTCCCCGGTGTATATGACGAGCCCGTACATCAGCGCAGTATAACGGATCTCATGCAGGGAGTGGGAGCGCGCAACTGAAGCTCGGCGGCATCTTCATCCTGATGTCCCCGAACACACCACCGCGAGATCGCCATGCGCCTAGAGTAGGCACCCTCCTGTGGCCCCCACCTCCTCGCCATCCTACTGGGCGCCACGTTCGGAAACGGTGCCTTCAGAATCTCAGCTCTGTCCGGAGGGTTAACTATGACCGCCTCGGTCGCCTCAGCTATCGCACTTCATTCGAAGGCATCGGACACGTCGGACTATTTCTTCTCGTCATGAGAGAGGTTCTTACACAGGATCCCTCCAGCTGAACCGCGCGACTGACTTCTCGAGGAGCATCTCCCTCCTCTCGGAGGAAAGTCCAGGGGGGCCCATCACCTCCCCTCCTTGGAGAGTGGGGCGCTCTCTCCCTGAGCCCTCGACCTCTTGGATCTACTGCCGCAATCTATTGCTGATCCCCCCGGAAAATCCCCCCAGAGCCCTCGCCGGCATTCGACCCCTTTCCCCCGTCAAGTCGTCTTAAGCCTTCCGAGTCCTGCGCGAGGCGCATGAGTCGACCGGGGTCTACTGGCTCCGCCGGACGATGCTGACTGGCGGAATCTGTCAGAGCGAGCCTGGGAGCACTGGCGGTCGGCCCCCCGACTCGCCCGCTCCCGAAGCGCAGGTGCCGGCGGATTGCCCCTATCGCGATATCCCCCCCGGCGTGGAGTCGGCTTGCTTTTCTCTGGACATCTGTCGTCATCCCCCTTCTCGGAAGCCTTCCTGCCGGTCGCCTTCGACTGACTCGATGGAGAGGACTCCCCGGAGTACCTTCCACGGAATCCAGCCTGGACGCTGGGGGGCGAGTGTCCTCTGAAGGAGCTTCCAGGGCCCCGAGTTCAGGAATCGGTGGTGGACCCGGAGGTGGGACGAGGGGAAGAGCCCCTGGTTGCCCCCGAAGGCCTCCGTCCTCGGACGAGACCCCAGGGGGGGGACAACCTCGGTCTCTTCTCCTGCCGCGATTCCCGAGTCGGCCTGCGCTTCCGGCGGCGAGGCGACTTCGACCGCGGCATCTGGAGCCCAGGCTTGGGGGGGTGGCCCTTCGCCCATCACGTTGGCCCGAGCTCGATGCGGACTGATTTGAGCTTCCCTGAGAAGGTGTTGGACCGACGTGTCTGACATGATTTCGGCCCCCGGGACTCTTCGGCGGTGGCCAGGCACACTTGTTATGTTGAGCAGTTCCACAGCCTGGATCTGATGGCGACCCATACTGAGGCACCGCTCTGCAGGAGATCTGAGCCTGGACCCACCCATCTGTCTCTTTGGAGAGCAAACGTTTTCTGCCCCCCCTTCGGAGCTCGTCGCCAAACGTAAACCCACTGGCCAGACGCGAAATAGCGGTCTCCACGGGGACGTGGGCGGCCTTGGCCAGGCGACGCTGGCTGGAGGATTCAAACAGCTCCCGTCGCGCATGCCGCCTGATAGCGTCGCGAGGGGCCAATTCCGAAGCTGCCGTGTCCTGGCCCCATGAGCCAGGAGACAGGTCGTCGGCCCCAACCACCTGCAGTGGATCATCAGACGCGAGGT